CTTGGTCATAGCCTAAAGCGTTCTAGCAACCTTAAGATGTATCCTATGCATGCACTACCCGTCCCTTTACTTATATAGTCCCGGGGGTATTTAGGACTTATAGTTAAGGTGGGTCTAGACTCTCCTATAGTAATTAAAAGGAGAAAACTCTTGGCGATAAATAAATTATGTAGGACAGGACCAAAGATAGAACAGTTAAAAGGCTCACATTTTACCTCCACAAATAGAGCAAGTAAGTGCACGTCTCAAACAACAGATTTCAGATATTTCAGAAAGGCCCTAGAACAGGATATCTAGGTGAGCATGACAAGTAGAGAATATGCAGTATTGAGTTAAAACAAAGTGTTAAAGACCTAATCAGTTTGCCTACTTATTTTAAAACCTGTTGAATCTGGGCAGTCACAAGTAAGCAAAGCATAGTTTCACAGGTTATTAGACCTTGATTACCTATAGGCTTGCCTAGGCGTGGATCAACAGTAACATGTCATCTAGACATTAGTAAAGACCATAATTTTGAATCAGTAATTGGCAGACAAATTTTGTTTTCTATTGGAACTATATGCTGTCTAGGTGCTGAAGAATGATCACAGGCGTTATAGAACTGGTTTTACATTTTTTTATCTCTACGAGCATGATGTCTAAGTGTTGAGATTGTTTTTATGCTTATTCCTTATAGGCATGATGGCTAGGTGATAAAACTGATTTTTATGCATTTAAACTATAGGCATGGTATTTAAGCGAGTGCGTTAAAAATCCTAGAGACATGATCTCTAATGCACATAGGAAAGTTTGTGAACATGATTATTAAGGCACGACTGATAAATGACCGAAGAATCAGATTAGTAATGCAAGTATGAGAATGCAGAAATCTTTTTAGAATGGAAATTTAGAACAAATAGTGTAATGATCCTATAAACATGTTTTCTAATGCACATAACAATCCTGTAGGCATGGCTTCTAACTGATGCAAATAATCATAACAGTCCTATGAGCATGGTTTCTAATGCATGTAGGCAATCATAACGATCCAATGAGCATGGTTTCTACCCGATTCTCACAAAAGATATATAAAAGTCCCACTCGTTTTACTAATATCCCTAATATCTGTTTGTACAAGAGTTATTATTACAGAACATCACTAATAATGAATTACAGAAGTGGGATTGGTACAACTATAGGGAGCTTGATTATAGGCCCAAAAGATAAACCTGGCAGGCCAGGCCTTCAAATAGTCCAAAAATGCCGTAACCTCATAGTGCATCCAATAGTATCCTCGTGTGTCAAAGTTCCCAAGGGCCTCAGGGACCCCGGGAAATGCTAAACTTTCAAACCAACCCATTGGAAAGCCAACTCCAGTGTATCAAAGTTCAGAGGGGCCTCGTGGACTCCTAAGCAGTGCTTACACTAGAGGGGCAAGACCCTAGGTGTTCTAAGAGTAGGAGTTGAAAATGGTGCTTGAAAATATAAATAGTTTTAAGAAAATAGTTTAGAAGTGAAACACGAGTAGAAGTGAAACAGGAGTAAACAGAGTCATCGCAGCCCTCTGTGTTCAAGCAATCAAACAAGGACAAAACAGGCTCACAACCATTTCAAACAAGCTTTAGATTGCATAGATTCAACTCAATCAATTAGTTATCACTAGGTGGGGGCATAGCATGCTGGGAGTACAATAATAATAAACAGAAAACCATACAAAGAAAGGTAGTAAGGGTTGGGAACATAGAAGTCATTAGTCAGGAACACATAAAACAGGTCAGGAAGGAGAACATGCCAGTTACACAAAGCAGGTTGACAGCCAGATTCCATAACACTCAATAGGGGATAGACATGCTGATCAGAGGCCCAAAAAAACAAGAAGCACATAAACTTAATAACCAGATTACACAATGCTGGATAGGTCATAACAGCAGAAGTAATCATGCTGATTTAAAGCAATAGACATGAAAGTCACAAAGCTAAATACAGAAGCAGTTATGTTGATTGGGAACAAGGAATATATAGGTTCAATTACACAGAAGTAGCCATACTGATTGAAGTCTATAAGTAGTCATGCTAATTGAAATACAGAAAAGTCATGGATTCAACAGAAGTAAAGTAACATACAAGAAAGCACATAGGTTTAAGCTTCATAACATAATGAATGGCATTAGGAATTGAAACATACCAGTTAAGGATAGCAAAAACAGAAGGTGAAAGGGTGCAGAACTCAGTGATCTAGCCTTGGCTTTTAGCCGGCTAGACAATGTAGTGAACACAAGTATTAGAGAGGTTTTAGTAAGAGTAAAGTTAGTGCGCGTGTGTGTGTTTCTGAACTGTTGTTCGTGTAGAAGAATCAGAATGAGAGTGTATATATAGCACTTAGTAAAGTAGACAAATAAGGCAAGAATAATTTAAAATTCGTTAATAAGGCAAGTAAATATAATCAATCAGTTAATTGAGGCTAAACCCAACCAATCCGCATAAATAGAATCCGGGAAGGTCACATCAGCACAAGGAAAATCAATTACCAGCCCTGATTGGGACTCAAATAAGGTAAACAAATCACTTATTGACCATGAATTAACTAATTAGTCGGAATAAGGCAAGTAATACCAATTAAAGGTCACAAAATACAGAAAGTAAGTAAATAAATCCCAAAAATACTGTTTATAACAGGAAAAAATTATTCAAATCCCTAATAGAAATCAATCAGTATATTGGGTTGACAGAAATAAACAAATAACGGGAGAAATTTGAAGTAATCAGTGTCACAAACAGAAAAACATCTAGGGTTTAAGCATATACACGAGAATCAATCAAGCTAGTAAAGAATAGTCAGATTCAGCACTTGGAAGTTTGAAAATCGTTTGAAGAGAACTTAGGACGAACCCTAGTTCTTAAAAATTACTGAAACCAAATAGTGATAAGAGAAATAGAAAGTTTTTTTGTAGAAGAATACCAAATAATACTCAGGATGTTTCAGATCTACAAGGATTTGAACAGACCCAAGTAGTCATAAGACTAGGGTTTTGGAAAATGACAGGGACAAAAAAAAATCAGTCTAAACCCATAGATTCAAACCAAAAATAGGAAGAAAACAATACTCACAAACGGAAATAGCCATAGACAGGCCTGTGAAAAGGTTTCGAGCAAAACTGGGTTGAATCTCTTTGAGATTCTCTCATAGATCAACGAAGTCGAACAACCAGAAGATGTAGCAGGCCGGCAAGGGCCGAAAAAAACAAAGAAACCCCATAGACAAGGAGTTTTCTAGGTGACGGCGGCTAGGTTTTAGGGTTAGGTTGAGAGAGAGTTTGAGAGATAAGGGAACGAAGGGCGGCGGAAAATGAAAGAAGATGAGGGGTTTAGGGGGTCATTTGGGATTAATATGGTATGTTTAATCGTGGACCGTTGATCTAAAAAATCAGCCACGATTAAACGGAGTGGCTGGGTCGGGTAGGTTTAATTGGGTTAGGGTCAGATACAAATTGGGCCTGGGTAGATTTGGGCTAATTTTAATTGAATCGGAACTGAAATTGGGGTTGTTTTAACTAGGCTAGGTCCGAAAATAAAAAGGGCCATTTATTAAATACCCATTTAATTGATAAAAAATAATTTTAAAAATAATTAACAGATTACCAAAAATGATTTTCATACCTAGCAATGTTTTTAAAAAATATTACCTAGTATTTTGAAAAATATAAAAGGCTATTTTCTGGTGAAGTAATGTAATAATGCATGCATGGGCGATAATTGCAAAGCAATTGCAATTGTAATCCCAAAAGTGCAAATGTGGCTATTTGTGCAATAATTAAAACTTAGTGCAAATTTAATTGATAAAATTAAACCACAAAACCATTATAAAATTATTTGTGGTGTAATTAGTAACTGTTTGCATAAATAAAATACTGGAGTAATTAATTAAAACCCTTAAAAATGCAGAAATTATGAAAAAAATATTAATTGATCTAATGCATGGTTTTGGAGGTATATATGCATTTTTTTTTAAAAATATTATAGGGAAAAATTGGGTATCAACAGCTGCCCCTCTTTACCCGGGAAGGATGAAAGAGTTTTCGGGTAAAGAAATGATGGACAATTTTGACCGATCGGATGTTTTGAAAAATAGATGTCGAACCCTGGTCTCTAGGCTGCCTACATATCCCTGGCTTTACAGGAATCAAGCCATGTGTAGTTCTGGATTCATCGGTGGAATATACTGAGGAAGTCATCACAAGAACGGACATGAGACTTTGGAATGGGTGGAAAGATGGTTATGTTGAACGGTCAGATTTGAGATAATTTGAAAGAACTGGAGGGATTGCTCCTGTTGGGATAGTGGTTGCTTGTCGGGTCACCTGCAAGTGAAGAGATATTACAAGTATATATTTGTGCGGAAATTTAAACATGATACAGATTCCCTTCGGACCATGAGAATTGTCTTTGGACGGTTGAGGATGACGTCCTTAGACCATGATGTCGTGGGCCATGAATTGTTCGGTAGGGGATTCGCAGACCTTGCAATGATGTTCTCGGACCATGAAAATGGTGTCTCCGAACCATGACGCCTTTGAATATTCATACTTGATACCTTTCGATTTGTACGTAGTATCTTGCAACAAAAAGAACTTTCCAAGTTGAGTTGCCCAATATTCATACTTGATACCTTTCGATTTGGAACCTAATTACCTTTCTCTTTGCTTGTGAGGTGTTTCCCCTTCCCAATATCTATAAGTGTCAACGTTTACTGTTCAAGAAAATACTAGTACTAGCTGATTCTTTAATCTTTAGAACATGAAATTGAGACAAGTAGCTCATATAGTTTGCATGACTTTATGTTTAAGGCACATAACATGTTTAAGGCAGGCATTCTTTACAAGGCAGAGAAGTTAGTTTCTTTTCGTAGGGAATTTGTTTTGTCAAAAAAGGAAATCCTTACTCTGTGACATGTCTGTTTCCCAAATGATGGAAATTTCCCGCTTGATTACCAAAAATGGCAATCAGGAATGAAGATTCCTATGTGCAATCAAGTTCGTCTTTTGTCTTAATTCTTCTTTAATAAATACAAAAACATTAAACTGTCTAACATTGTACACTAGTAATCTTCATGCTGGAATTTGAAACACCATATGTCTGCAATCGCAGAAAAGGGAAAAAAGAAAAAAGAAAACTTTGAAATACACCCCAAACTACAAACAACAGTAGGCAGTTTGTTTGAAGACAAAACAAACATAACTAAGCAGCAGCCAACTTGATGAATTTGAAACAGCAGATGTACAAGACTCAATTCATTTAGCTTCTTTTTCAGTTTAAAAAGAGGTGTGAAGGGAGATTTAGACAGTGTTTCGATCATTTCTTTGACAAGATTTTCAATGAAAGCTGAGAATGGCCCTAACATACTCCTAATAGCAAGTCTCGTCGCCTTAAAGATATCCTTCCCTCCTCCTCCTCCCTCTTTTTTTATGTTTTAATATCTATATCTGGTATAGTTGAAATGCCTCGCATTTTATTTCTTTCTGGGAATGTTTATGGAGACAATGCAAATCAATCACTCTTGTATTAATTTCAAGAAATCAATCTACTTACAGGGGCACCGTGCGACTGCAAAGACGAATAAATACTTTTAGTTTTCTAACTTTGGCCTGTATAGTGGAGGATCTTCCCCAAGCACAAGCGATTTCAAGACAGCTTCACACACTGCCCTGTCATAAACAAGCAAGTGACCTCCATCAGGAACTTCATGATAACGAATCCAGGGGAGCCTTTGTGAGACATGTCTTTGTAATTGAACAGGAACAACTTTGTCTTCGTGGCCTTGCCAGATATGAACTGAGCTTTCATTTTGTGGGTACGGGTTACTCAGCTCCAATGGATTAAAATCCCATTTTCCGAATGCCACAATGCAGTCACTACAAAGGGAGTCGAATACACTTCGGTCCTTTAGGCCATCCTGTGAAAGAAAGTAAAGCATCTGATTAAAATTTTCAACCTTTACACAAAGTGTTCCTTTTTTTTTTTTTTTTTTTTTGGCTGAATTGCAGAATGTTACCTGAGTGAACAACTGATATCCTGCTGTGTTCTTCAAGGCATCCAAATCTTTGTCACAGAAAAATTGAGGATTTCCATCAAGAACAGAAGCTGATGGGAAAATTTTTTGAGTCAACCACCAATGTAATAGCCCCCGAGCATAACGTGTGATCCAGATCACCCATCGGCAGAGTTGTTTCCTGTAATCATCCTTTGTCAGATCCTTAGGCAGTGTCCGCCATTTATAATTGACAAAGGGAACGACTAGAGCCACACCTGCAAGCCTGCAATGCATTATATTCACAATAGTAAAATCTAATAGGCCTAAACCTTAACTAGTAAAGCCAACAAGCTAAAAATGTCAAGTTAGTTCTGTTACCTTGCAGGAATGTGCTTGATACAACTCCAAGCCGGGTAACATCCCAACGACACGCCTATTATGTAGAATCTGGATCCTAATTGCAACAGATCAGCTAGTTCCTCAATATCAGATGCTTCACTTTTAAGTGACCTCTTTGGATTTATAGAACTCTCACCATATCCAGCTCTATCGTAGATCAAAAGGTATATCCCCAATTCATCCAGAAGCTCCTGGGAACTAGAGCACTATTAGATCATTCTAAACTAGACATTGTTTGCATGCTATTAAAGAATAACATCTCTTTAGCACAAAAGAAAACACTTTCCAGCTCCCTTCAATAAATTCTAACCTAAAGAAAAGGATCTAAATATGATAAACCACAAAACAGAAGGGAATTTCAATAACTTAATTTGACTTGAACTCAATTCAATTATCAGCGTAAACAGTAGTTCTAACTAGGCAATGTCAAGTTTAATTGTTCTTGAAAAAGAAAAAAGCATTTATGGATCTAGACATCAAATCTGTGCTATTGACACTCAATTATCAATTCAAAATCAAGAAATTATGTTAAGTAAAACATCAGAAACTTAAAAAGAGGAACAGAATCTACATACATCAGAAGCCATAAAGCTCATTTCTTTGGAGCTGCCAAAGCCATGAACAATAATAATTCTGTATGTGGAAATGTTCTTGGGCACTCCTCTTTCCCTGTAAGCCAAGTATCTGCCATCACCTAGTTTGACTCTAGGTGAAGTGACAACAGCAGATTCATCTACAAGTGGCTTTGATTCAGTTTTCTCAGGAGAAGAAGATGGTTCTGTGGGCTGACCAGCACATCCCAGACAACCCATCATCATTACTACAAGTTTCTTGAAAACCATTAATTTTCTGAAAGATACACAAATAACTGGTGAGCAAATTGAAAGAAAATTCAGTTTATGGGTTTGATTTGAGCTTACAAGATGGACAAATTCTCTGCAAAAATATCTAAGAATTACTAGCCTTAGATGCTAGGTACATGTACCATTTTCCTCCTTTACCCTTTTGACTTATTTAAGATGGCTGTTCGAGTTGTTAATGTTAATACTATGTATGAGGACTAAAATGGCAGCTTGTCCTATGAGCAATAGGGATTGGCCAGTTGGGTACAAGCAATCCATGTTTGGAAAGAATATTTTTTACTTTGTCCTAATGCATAGTATTTTGCAGGTTTGAACATTGTGGTCAAACTCTGCTTTAGATTTAGTGGGCGTTTGGACATAAGAATTGTAAAATTTTAAAATTAGGGGAAATTTTTTTTAAGTGAAAATGGTATTTGAAATTTAGAGGTGTGTTTGGACATGAATATAATTTTGGGTTGTTTTTGAAGTTTTGCGAGTGATTTGAGTGAAAAATTTGAAAAATAGCTTTTTGGAGTTTTTCAAATTTTCGAAAATTTCAAAATGAATCTTCAAGAAAATTGAAAATTTTATGAACAAACGCTGATTTCGGAAAAAGGTAAAATGTTTTTAAAAAAAAGGGAAAATTTTTGTATGTCCAAACGAACTCTTAAGGTTGCTGATCTCATTTTTATGGTTTTGTATTTCAACGAAGCAGTCACTCTGTCCTAAAATGTTTTCGCACTTTTCTTTTGGCCACGTAAAATTCGAATTAACTTAATCTATCTATATCTATACTATACAATATTAAAAGCACGAAGGTCCTTAGTGAAATGTCGTTCGCCTTTTTTACCCTTTCAAAATAGATTTCACACTAGACAAAATAGTCATTTAATAAATTTCTAATAGTTAGGAGTTCTAAATCAACTAAATTTTGTACATTATTTTCCTAATATTAGATTCTAAATCAAGTAAAATTTTGCATACTAAAAAATTCTTGTCTAAACTTCTATATAATGAAGCCCAACGTATGCTATAAACATGAAAAAACTAAACAAGATTTCCTTTTTTGAGAAAAAGAAAATTTACGACTTAGAATAGGTTGTAGATTGCTTCGTTGGCCAGTGAAGTATTACTTTTTTGTCCTAATTTTAGTATAAAAATATTCAACTTTCAAATAATCTTTTTATCTATATTTACCTTTACAAAAGTAAGAAAAAGAACAAGAAGCTCAAACAATTAATATTCTTTAATTACAATCAGTGCAAAAAAGTGTTAAGCAATTATAATTATAATACTATTTTAGAACATTATTTTATGTCTTTTTTATTAGGATGCTAAGCATGAAAACCTAATCAAACCTAACGATACTACTAGAGAAGTAAATGAATTTAAGTGGACTTCATTTTCTAATTTCTCATATTATTCAATGAGAATACATGTCATATCTACTTTTGAAATTCTAATTACAATTAAATTCTAGCTTCTAGATATCGTTTTTGTATAATATTTGAAAAGTACATTGATTAAGACAAATTACTAACAACATATTTAAGAATATAAAAGACAAAGAGAGAAAGAAAAATGGTTGAGAGTTTTATAAACATAAAAAATTCAAAAGTAAAATATTAGAACAATTTTTACTCTTCAACAATGCAAATTTTTTATTGGAAAAAATTATAATTACAATAAAAAATATTCAAAACTATGAATGAGCTAATATACGAAGAACTTGAATAGACAAAACACATACTATTTCCTTTAATGCTCAGAACAAATTTAAGTCTTTGAATTAATAATTAGCAAAAGAATTCACTTTAATTATTTTTTAAATTCATCATATAAGTAAATTAGTTTTCAGGTTAGCAAAAAATTTAGGATACACAAATTTATCTCCATAAAAGGTGCAAGTGAAAAAATAAACAATTTAGTTAAAGAATTTGTATTAAGAGTCCAATTAGTAAAAATGTAAACTAAAAATAATAAAGATGAAATAGTGTGTGACGACCCAAAGGGTCATCACCTGTTTCCTCATCCGTTCCGTGCTTTCGAGGCCTTGAAAACCTCATTTTTTACTTGCCTCGTTTGCGTGCGCAGTCCGGGCGCATAGCCGAAAAGCTTTTATGTTGAAATATGTGAATTCTGTGAAAAATTTGAAGAATTTTGATATTAATATGTTTAAGGTCGACTTCGGTCAACAATTTGGTAAACGGACCCGGACCCGAGATTGG